TAAAAAATTTTTTTAATTAAAAAAATTATATTTTTATTAAATTTTTTTTTTTTATTTTTGATGGTTTTTTAAATTTTTTTTTTTCTTTTTTTTTTTCTTGTTTTTTAAAAAAAAAAGAAGTATATTGATTTTTTATTAGGGGGGCCCCCCCCCCCCCCCCCACCCCCGGGCCTAACACGATTTGGCTACCGGCTTTATTTCACCCCGTGTACCTAGGCAGGATTAGCTCAGTCGGTAGAGAGTGCAGACTGAGGAGGAGGTCGCAGGTTTCGATTCCTGTGACAAGGACTTAAAATTACTCAGAAATGAAGATACGGTCTTCGCACTGTAAACGGCTAGACCTTCGCGAGGTGTTCCCGTCTCCAGTAGCGGATGCAAAAATAGTGTCCTCAATCAACATTTTTGTGCTAAATACATCACCAGATCATTACGTGGGATAAAACAAGAATTATACGATAAAAGCTTTCAGGTAAATGACATACGTGAAAACCTACCTCCTCACGTTGAAAACGCACGTCGTAAACCTCAAACGTGACGCGAAAGACTTGTCACGTGACCTCCAGCGGTTAGAGGTTTGCGGTAAACTCGAATCGAAAACTCTCTATTCCGCCTATTTACTCTGATTGAACTGAGCAACGGAAATTTCTTCTACAACCCCCGTGTACTTATAATTCTTATCAGTATTAATATTTTCTTTTAGAATGATCCTGAGTCGAGCTGGTATTAATGCTCTACTGAAAAGTAACTGCAACTGCTGGGAACCAGACTCCCCCGATGACATGTGGCTTGGGAATTGTTTCCGAAGACTGGGAATACCTCTTACGCATAGCCCCGCCTTCCACCAGGTATGTTCTGTGATACCTTTTGTTGTATTTCTTTAGAACCCTGTTTGATGGAGGAAGGATGGGTATTCTCTCCATCCAGAACTTGACCAAGTGTAGGATCAAATGGCACGAGATTTTGTAGCCTGCAGGCGCCCAAATTTCCCCTTGGGCTTCCTCTTGGACCGCCTGCCACGTGTTAAGAGGAATCTCTAGACTCACTCAGTAAAGAGAGATAATGGCTATTTGGCTCTTAGTGCCTATAATCGTTCTTTCCACGACCAAATATGCTGGTCATCGTCATCTGGTCACTGACAGGACTGACACATTTTTGCTCATGTTTTTCTTTATCTAATGCCCGAGAGAGGGTTGCACTTTGGTTAACTTAGACGTTGGGGCGTTGCTGTTGTTGTTGCCAGAGTCAATATGAAATATTTATTGTAAAGGACATCATTTCTTAGTGTGCAGCATGAAGAGTTGTTGTTAATTATGTTTGTTGTTGTTCTTTTGCAGGCCAAACCCAATGAATATGTTCCATCACTTCTGGCCCATCAAACGCCCATCTCCTTCCACAAACACAACGATCTAGATCCACTCACTGTCTACAAAGACTATCTGAGTTGATAACGTCCTTTATTTCTTAAGTGTTGTACTTGAAACGCTTCCCAAAGGAAAATAAAAATACAGTGGAGCCACCCAACATTCAAAGCGAAATAAGGGACTTTCCAACCAATTTCTACTCAATGTGAGGGCCGATAATTGTTACATAGGTATGCAAACGCTGAATTGGATCGTTTTCTGAACACTTCTGTTGACAATCGCTCGCACGTGTTCTGAGAACGAGTCGGAGACCAAGTGTCCGTGGTTTCGTAATTTCGTCAGCGAAAGGGATGACTGTCGAAAAATCAGATTTCTTTAAGGAAAAAGAATACAGAAGGGAAAAAAGTGGAAATATCTCAAAAGTAAAAAATATCTTTCATAGTCGGGGTCTTTGTATAAAATATAATTTTTCTTTACAAAACATTGTGAAATGTCATAAACCGCTGAAGGGGAACTGAACGGATATGTGTGTCTGGAGATCAGTATATGTGCTTAATTGTTTAATATATCTCATGCAGTAATAAAAATGAATTTTTAATTTCCAGTTTCTTTTAGTCTTTTTTCATTTTTTATTTTGATCATCTGAGGACGCCCCGCTGTGCAAACCTGGCGCCGGATTTAAGATGCCATCATCTTAAGCATTAACACAAAACCGTAGGCTAGTTTTTGAAAGGATATTTACTCTCGGACCATCTCTCGTAACAGACCACCTCTCATGAGTGACTGCTGATCCAAAACTCCAAGATCTTCTGCGTCAAATCCCTATAGCAAGAACCTCACATAAACGAACATCTCTTGTATCAAGCGACCGCGACCACCTTTCGGGGGTGACGATTTTCTAATTAGCTCTCTTGCCGCATGATCTGTTCTCTATGTTAGCTGTATGTATCACGCTACTAAGGAGGAACTTTTTGCGAAAGTTTAGTGAAATAGAACTACAAATGTTGTAGCTTTATATCGCATAAAAATGCATGCAATAAATTCTCTTTCAAGAGTCAGTAGACACTTCAGACTTCTTTTTGGAAGACGGTTCGATTCTCATAAGCGACCACCTTACCTTCCCATTTTGATTGGTCGCTTACGGGAAGTTCGGCTGTGCTCCCAAAATCGCGCTTGACACCTTCGCTTTACCAGCTTAGTTAAAACGGCAATTTGATTATAGCACGAATTAATTTTCAAACGTTTAAAGTTTCAAGGTTTCCTTTTGGTCATTACTGCTTACTCGGGCTAGTCTGCTTCAGCCAGCGTCCTACTGTGCGGTCATTTGTCCTTTTCGTTCGTTAACCTGTTACATAGCACGAGCAGAAGTAAGACTGTTTTTTTTTCGGTGGTGGGTGTGGCCGAGGGGTGCTCAGTTTGTACCCAAGTATTCAACAACCTATGGCGTTTCAGGGCTCCAATGGCGACATTTTCGCGGTGTGGACTGGTCTGCGAAAAAAAGCTACTTTTTCCACGCCACTCCACACAGCGAAAACGTAGCCTGTGCTCGCAGGGTATTAAGCGCCGTGTTCAGTATAAAGCAGCCGGAGGGAGGGGATGAGTCAGAAGGGGTATCAGCTAGCTCAGTAAGGAAGCAGTGACTTTCTTGACACCATCATGCGCTTCCTCCACCCTTATCGCAGTTTCCGCCCTCTCCTCACCTTCCTCCGCTTTCAAAGTTCAAAGTGGCGGCTTCTTACAGGACAAACCGAGCGTCCGCTTACCTAATACGCCTGCTTCCCGAACAATCGCGAGACAGAAACGCCGATGCGATTGGAGGTCGACATTAGAGTGTCTCTTCTATACAGTTTTCTGTAGCGAAAGAAAACAAACCCTGGGAACGAAGGTTGCTTGTGTAAATGATATCACTTGACGCTTGATAATATTCTAGGAAACTTTCGATATTTTTGGTACGTTTTTCTTAATCCGCCGTACCCCTTCGTCATCATTAAATTCTGGTTTTGATACATTACTCCGGCGGACTGAACGCGAGGAAAAGGGCATCCCAAGAACTTATGTAGAAGACGAACTGACCGCATCCTTGTCCACAGAGCCTTATAAATCACTGAATAGATGATCGAGCAACTCATTAAGTTTATCTCGGATACATCAACAAGCATAAAATATTAATTTGAACTTCTTCTTGAAAAGCAAATATTGAAAATCAAATTCAATGCAGGTAAAACGTAATGCGCCCGTGGA